AAATGCAAACTTTGATGAAATGAAAACTTTTTCATTAACATTTGTAAAGCTCAACTTAACCTAAGTAAGCTGGAACAGTAAAGTATAGATTTCAAGATAATATGAATTGTTACACCTAGAGCTCATTACGTTTCCGAAGACTTTATTCCACCTGTAAACTGATTGGTAGCACTTCTAGACAGCCAATCTCATCAACATCTTTTGACATGTTCAAGATCACCTGTTTTTTTTAAAGGTCGGAAAATTTCGTTTTGCGACCCTCGTTCTTTTCAAACATGACAAGGTTGCATGATCCCAAAAAAAAGATTGCATCGATGTATTTGGTATTTCTCACTGCTCAAAAGTCTAACATTTCAGCTTTTGTTATTAAAGTTTCTCCAGTGGGTTCTTAATGCCACTTTCAGAGGAATCCATCTAAGTTTGTGGTTAGCCTCGCTGTTAATTTGTGGTAGCCACCCAGTGCAGAATTCTTTCTATCATACGGCATCACCAGTAGTAAGTTCAACAGTTACACTCAGCTTCGTGTCAGCTATCACCTCGTGGATCCACAACTACTTCATCGCCTGAAGAAGACTAGCGGTAGGCAGTCGAAACGTCGCGATCTACATCTCAAGTGACTACATCCTGAGACAAACGATAATACACTTTATTATTATTACTTTGACAATGTTATGACGAAATTCATGACCACCAACAGGACAGACGCACGAAAAACTGACATCAATTTGTCTATGTTATGATTGACTGTGAGAGAAAAACGAAATCGTGCCGCACTGGGTTCCGAACAACCGTGATTTACAGCAAGTTAACCTGACATGAGCCCGCGGTCCAATCGAAAACCAGCACTTGGTCAGCGGTCAACTTGAAAAAACAAGTAACCTCGATGAGCTCTAAACTTAAGCCCACGTTATGGTTACGTGATATTAGTCAGCGGATACCTTGTTTTGACAGGTGTCAATTGACCATAACATGGATGTCCAAAATCAAAGAAGTACGTTATAAATTAAGACTGCATGTCTGTCACCCTATTAGCTGGAGTGAAGTTGCCATCTTGGGCGACTCCGCCGCCGTTGTTGTCGTCGTTATGCGCACGCACCTACAAGCAATACCGCTAGCCATTATTAGCACGAGAAAATCAATTTATGGATTTCCTTTACTTTCCTATATGGGTATGGTGGTCCGCTTGACGGCCCTTCGGGCCGCCGGAGCTCCGCTATGAATTATCGCACCTAGGGCTCGTTACGTTACCGTAAACGGTCGATGCCACTTTAACAGCCGATGCCATAATTTGTAGCCAAGCTGTTTGGAATGGACGATAGCATACCTGCTCTATCTTAGGCCTGGACTAGGTCGAAACTGGTTATAATTTGGTGACTGACTTACAAGCTCTCACCAAATGCTTAATTGTTCACTTTTATACTGGTTTACGCGCGGTTAACTTTCATTTATTGGCTAGGGCAACATCATAAGTAAAATAGACTAAGAAAGTTACCTTTTATAATTAAAAATTGGGGGGTTTTGGCGCATCAATCTGGCGGGTGTAGTGTTACGAGAGGGATGTTGGCATATAAGTTGGAGCCAGTAAAGTATAGATTTCAAGATGATATGAATTGTTACACCTGAGGCTCATTTCGTTTCCGAAAACTTTATGTCAGCTGCAAAATATTGGCTGCACTTCTAAACAGCCAATCTCATCAACATCTCTTGATTGATATGTTCGAGATCACCTGGTTTTCTTTATTTATTAATTTGAGTTTTTTTGTTGTTATTGTTGTTGCTGTTGTTGCTGTTTCTTTTTTGCCATGTTTTTTTTTTAAGATCAGAAAATTCCGTTTTACGGCCGTCTTTCTTCTCAAACCTAATAACATCGCATGAATCCCCCCCCCCCCAAAAAAAAGACTTAATCGATGTATTTGGTGTTTCTCAATACTCAAAAGTCTAACCCTTCAGCTTTTGTAATGTACATATATTTTATTGCCTGTGCAATACTATCTTTAGCGCAGCAAGTTGACCTATTACATTTCTCCACATAAATGAAAAATAAGTGAGGGTTACGTTACAATTGTGGCAAATCGGTTTATCTTTGCAGCTTAACACAGGTGTTTAATCAACAAAAGAATAAAATTCAAATTCAAACAACCAAATACTTCTTTGCGTGCGTGAGAGACATCGGTTCTCTAATACGACGCAAAACGTACTCCAAGCATGGCTTAAACTGCCGACTTAAGGGACCAGAGTACTCAGAAGCCATAAAGTTATCGCGCCATATTAAAAGAAGAAAAGACGGAAAAAGCTAAAAAGTCTTCAAAATGTCACATCCTGACTATAATCTCTTCCTTTACTCAAAAAGACTCTTAAGAGGTCCCGGGAAGTTGTATCCAAACATCTCGAAGTTGGCTCTGTACAACCGCCCAAGGATGTTGATCCACTTTACGGGAATCTCCGAGTAATAACTGAGCATAGAGGAGGCGGTACTGGATTTATTGTTGGCTCGAGCATCGAATTTCTTTGCCTGTTGGGGCGATAACCCTGCAGCCTCTTTGAAATCTGCCAAGTCTTGATCGAAAGTTTCGTAATGACCTATAAAGTCATAGTTGACGGCACACATTCCACAAATGTTGACGTAATTGTCCCAGTGCCAGTCCATAACAGGCGTACTTTTGCTGCTTCCTTTGGTTACTAAATATTCAATGAATTCACGAAAAGTGATGTCATCAAGCTTATCAAGTGCGCTCTTGGAAGCGTTTGGACGAACGGTTCTCAGAATTGCTGTGCCGTGAAGTTGAAGTTTTTTGCGGGGAAATCTTGGATAAACGAACTTGTCTTTGTATGCGGACAGAATGCGCTCGAACGGCTCACGAACAAACGTAAACTTGAAATATGTTTCCCACTTCTGCCTTTGCTGGTGTGGAGGAAACCGACTTAGTAGAGGCTTATTTCTCAGCTGGTTTATATTAACAAATGGATACAACATTTCTCTCAACTGCCTGGAAGCCACTTTAGGTGTAATGCAGTAAAGTATTTTGAGAGACGGGATCACTGCAATGTGAGAAGGGTCTGGCATGGAATTGTGCCCAGTCTTTTGGCAAAACGTCTCAACCAGCTTTCTGCGTTCGTTTTGTCTTAACACCCTTGGAGAACGGAAATTATATGATTCCTATAAATGAAACAAGAACTTTTATAAGATTACAAACTACCACAACATTACAACTACCTTTAGTAAAGGGGAAAGTATTGTCCATTTAGCGCCGGGAAACGAATGCCATCTCGCAAGTAACTAAATTTAACTCAATCTGGGCAAATAGCAAATATTTCGGAGTGAATTCGCACTAATAAAGATCGGTTCACGATGTGTTACACTAAAATATCCAGAGCTTTGCAACGACGCCAGACTCGAAGTACAACTGGAATATTCTTTCAGAAACCTGTCTTTTGTTTTTTCGGTTGTTTTGTTTTATTTTAAGCTGGTTTTCACATGACGTCACTAAAATTCAAACTACAAAACTATTGATCTTCTTGAGATTTTACTTTAATGATGTATAAGAGCAGCTGAAAACTAATATTCATACAAATTTTCGCTCCGAATGGGCTCTTGGTTTTGTGATACACCACGCTTGAATTTCTAAGTTTTTGCGTGACGCGGCATTTACATGACGGCCTAGAGAGTTGTCATGATGGTTAAAAAAGTGACTTATTTCAGGGAATTTGGCTATTTTAACAGTTCATGTTTTAGAAAAAGTATTATTTTAATGTTTTTGAGTTCCTCGAGGGAGAAATTCATGCTTTGTAGCCAAACTCAGTGACAGATGTTTCTCTTGGTTTCCGGCCGCCATGTTGGTGCCCATACGGATGGACACCAGCATTGCGTCTCCATACAAATCTCTATAAATTTGGGTCAGTAAAATCTTTCTCCGCATATCTTGCATAAGAAAAATTGCTGTGACCAGAATCTTGGCGAGAGTCTTTGCATATTTTACCTTCTTTCATTTCCCAGGTTTTGGACTTTATCTATTGAGCGGTTTTGATTTTTATTTTGATCTATTCTGAATGGCGTGACACTGAAAACCAACAATACACCAGGTGTACGTCACGGGGACGGGTTCACGATTGTATGGCGTCACGATTGCAAATTTTTAAACGGCTTTTTCACCCTGAAAACTCTTCAAATGTTTTCCTTCCGCTTTACGCCAGAGAACTTTGAAAATGCAGCAAACACCGGTCGTTACGTGCTGGAGATGTGTTTGAGGAAAACCCTGGCAGGGAAATCACATGATTATCATAACGTCATGGTTTTCGAAAAGTTTCGTTTTGAAAATGTTTTCCGTCCACATTAAAACGCAAAGCCAGCGTTTGCAAAGTCCTCCTGTTTGAAGGCGTTTCTTATAAAATAACTGAGCTACTACGCGTGCTCTCATTGGTCGATAGGTGTGTTTAGATGAGAGTATGTAAACACGGTTGTGACGTTTTAGATTCGCGCGTATTTTTGAGAATTACTTTATAAATGAAATAGAGCACTTTTTCCGTGTTTACATGGCCTCATCTAAACACTCGGGCGTTGGGAGAATTCTCGGAAGTTATGCAAACCCGAGACTCTCGGGTTTGCATAACTGTCTCGAATTCTCCGAACCCTCCTCGTGGTTAGATGAGGCTATGTATACACGGAAAGAGTGTTCTATTACTTACTCGGAAAGCTCCGAGACGGACTAGTGTAGACGAAATAGAGCTGCCTTTTCAAATTTCTCCAGACTGGTATGGACTCTAGGATATTTTCGCTTTGGCGTAGTGACTTTCTTTGTTAGATGAGAAAAATCAAGGGAGGAATTTGCAGATTATCTTCATGGTAATGCACAATTTCCAAACCAACCATATACAAAATGTCCGCACTAACACTCAGTAAATTCTCCGGGGCAAGTTTTCAGGTACAAGTACTTCTATTCGTTTGCACCAGTGTAAGTACCGTACCTCTTTTATCACCCGCTCAGCATGACTTGACACTGAGAAGTAAAGAAAACACAGAAAGGATTATCATTTATGTGGAGGCAGTGTGGTCAAGAGCTTAGGGTGCTCGAAGTGTAATCCTTAATCCCCTTTGGAAGTAATCTAGATAACTTACAGAAAAAAACCCATTGAAAATGTTTCTGCTTATACCATTCTTCCATAGACGCACATGTATGTTTTAGGTCAGGTTCCCTGTCAATTCGCTCTCTACCGCAATGTACGTACTTTGGTCACTGTCACTCTCATTGTCACTGTCACTGTCACTGTCACTGCCACTGCCACTGTCACTG